CTCAGGCTGCCGTCGCTCCGCCTGAACCACGGAGCAGCCGAGCCGGGGCTCGCCGCCCTCCTCCTCCTCCATGAGGCCCGAGTGAGGCGCAGCGGCTAGAGCCGGCCCGCGGCGCCTTACCCCGCGACCTATCCCGAGCACAGCGGCAGCGGCCCCTGGAGGAGGAGGAAAAGGAGGAGCATGTCGGACGGTTTCGATCGGGCCCCAGGTGCTGGTCGGGGCCGGAGCCGGGGCCTGGGCCGCGGAGGGGGCGGGCCTGAGGGCGGCGGTTTCCCGAACGGAGCGGGGCCTGCTGAGCGGGCGCGGCACCAGCCGCCGCCGCAGCCCAAAGCCCCGGGCTTCCAGCAGCCGCCGCCGCTGCGCCAGCCCAGGACGGCCCCGCCGCCAGGGGCCCAGTGCGAGGTCCCCGCCAGCCCTCAGCGGCCTTCCCTGCCCTGGGCTCTCCCAGGTACGGAGCAGCTCTAAAGGACCCTGTCGTCCCGGGCCAGCGCTTCCCCGCGGCCCTCCGCGCGTGCCGAGGGCCGCTGTCTCCTCACCCTCAGATACCCGAAAGCGGTCCCTAAGGGACCCGCGTGTTGCAGGGTAGGGACGGGCCTGGAACCGGGTTTGGAAGGTGGCTGCTGGAATCCTTTGTGCGCCCCGGCTGGGGGAGGGGCCGGGTGCGCGGTCTTGGAGTTCTGTCCGGGGAGGAAGTAAAAATCACCTCCCCCGCCGCAGCCCACTAGATGAGACCTTAGGTGAGCAACCACCTCTTTTTCACCCATTCCTTGAAATAGAAAGGGACAAAAGCTCTCTAGCGCTCACTTCAGGGGCAGGTATGTTCATAAAGGAGCTAAAGCAAGTCTATTGTTCCTTCTTACAGGCTCTGTGTACATATCTTGGCGATAACCTTAAATTTCATGATGGTTTCTATTTAACTCTTAAAAACCAGCGCTTCCAGGTGGTTTTTCAGTATATAGCAAGTTGCTGTATAAAGGAATGAATGCACCTGACACCTCTTTTTTTCCTTTGCAGAGCAAACAAGGCCTCTGAGAGCTCCACTTAGTTCACAGGATAAAATCCCACAGCAGAACTCAGAGTCAGCAATGGCTAAACCCCAGGTGGTTGTAGCTCCTGTATTAATGTCTAAACTATCCGTGAATGCCCCTGAATTTTACCCATCAAGTTATTCTTCGAATTATACAGTAAGTATGCCCTTTTTTTTTTTTTTTTTCTCTCAGCTCTGGGTTAATATTTTCAAATAATGTGGTTATTATTTAATCAGAGCATGCTCATGCTTTTGGAACTACACGTGAAAACATGAATTCATTGAACTCATGAGGAAACAAAGCTGATTCAGGATGTATTTTGTAGTTACGTTCACAGCATCAGAATGTAAGCTTGAGAGTAGAAATTCTTGTCTGTTTCATTCACTACTGTATTTCCTGCATCTATAGAGAATTTATGAGCTAATAAATCTGATCTAATCAAAGATGTTCTTTATTTTTTAATTCTTTTTTTTTTTTGAGACAGAATCTCACTGTGTCTCGCTGGATAGAGTGCTGTGGCGACACAGCTCATAGCAACCTCAAACTCTTGAGCTTAAGTGATTCTCTTGCCTCAGCCTCCCAAGTAACTGGCACTACAGGCGCCCACCACAACACCTCAACTTTTTTTGTTGTTGCAGTTGTCCATGTTGTTCCAGTGGCCTGGGCTGGGTTCAAACCCACTGGCCTCAGTGTATGTGGCCAGTACCCTAACTGTTAAGCTACGAGTGCCAAGCCAAGGATGAAAGACTAAAATCTGTTCCCAAACTATGGACAACCTATAGAATTGTGGCCAGGCAAAGTTGATATTTAATTTGACTTTTAGCAAGATAACAATACACATTAGTGACGTCGGGATAAATGAAATAGTGGTTTGCTATGAACTAATTATGAGGTAGCTTTTTGAATGCTGAGAAATGTACATCTAGGCTCTTGTTTTGAGTAACTGTTACTCCATTATGTTAAAGTAGAAATATTTCCAGTGCTGATTACCTGTTGTATGCAGAAATGTTGTAAGAGGTTTTGATAGTGTTTTACATAGATACGAAGAACTTCTGAACTTTCAGACTCATCTTTGTTATGTAAGTTTAAAAATTGGTCACATTTTTCTTAAATAGCAGAAAGCACAAAGCACAGTTAGAATATGCGGAAAAGAATTTGTCATGCTGGGTGAACTCAGATGAGTAAATGCATAGGGATTACTTGTAGAGAAGTAGAAGAGAATCATTTTAGGTTGAAGAAATAACTGATAATACCATAGCATAAGTCCCATCTTTCCTAATTGAACTATACCATGCAGTGAAGTACATAAGGGTTAGCTGGAAGTTTCGCAAAGAGTACATTCAGGTAACTAGTTTCCAGTCAAGAAATGGTACATTATGAGTATCCCTAAAGCCCCCTTTGCTCCCTTCTAATTATTACTTAAGTTCAAAGGCAACCACTGATTTGACAAGTTTTACCTGTGTTCAAAATTTGTATAGTTATACAGAGTATAGCCTTTCTCACTGTCACTGAAGATCATAATCCATGTTGTAGCACAGCAGTTCTCATCCTGTGGGTCACAGCCCCTTTTTAACAATGAAAATACATTGCGGTATTAGGAAAGGTTGAGAACCACTGTTGTGGCATATAATTAAAGGTGATTTATTCTCATAGCATTCCACTGCATGAATATCACAGTCCCATTTGTCTAAAACATTGGATAGCGTCTACTCTAAGGCTGTTATGAATTGCTATTCCTGTCTATGACTTGGTGGATAGATGCTTTTATTTCTGTTTGGTATATACCAAGGAGTATTTCTGGGATGGAAATAGGGTAGTCAGCTTTAGTAGAGACTACCAAGAAGTATTTCAAAGAGATTATTCCCCTGTATACTTTGAGCAGTATATGATTTCCGGTTGTACTCCATGGCCAGTACTTGGTATTTTCTGCTTAAGGCTAACCTTTCTGGTAGTTGTTTTAGTTCTATTTCTCTTATAAATGATGGCATACCTTTTGTTACCTTTTTCTTTTGGTTCACTTTCCAAATTTGATAGTAAAAATATGGAAAGGCTGTATATCATGTTTAGATATTCCACTCATCTTTGACTACCTAGTAAAAGGTTTTGGAATTGGAAAGGGGAAGGTGTAGGCATAGCAGGAAGATTTGGAATGAAAAGAGCCATCTATCATGTAAAGTAGAAATTAAAGCATCTTGGATCCTTGCCAGAAGGTTTTGTTGAGCTCAGATAGGAAAAGAACCATTGGAGAATTTTGAGTAGTTGAATATATTGGTTAAGGATGCTTGCCTTCTAGCAGCCGCAGTTTCCTATTTGTTTTCCTCTCTGTCGATTAGGCCTATTTTATGGTGGGACTGATGATGATAATTCTTTTCACAATTCTGTATAGTTCTGCATAGTTCAAGTGACTCCTGGCCTATAGAGCAGTGTGTAAAGTCATGTTAGTCACCTTATTTTTAGTCAGTGTCATTTTTTTAGGCATTCTTTACTAACCTCTGGTAGATAAGCTCCTTCTGTGCTCGGTGCAGACCAGACTATGGCTAGGAAGGCTTTGTGGCCTCTCTGGTCATCTTTGGTCCTGGGTGGGGTTTGTTTTTGGTTAAAGTTGTTTTAATTAATTACCAGTATTTAAATACTGTATTTTCTGGGGTTTTTTTTTTTTTTTTTGAAATCATAAACTCTGGTCATAGCAAACTGGCATTTTATTTATTTATTTATTTATAGACAGAGTTTCACTATGTTGCCC